TATATATATATAAGTAAAAAAATAAATGTCTCCATTGTTGGCGAGGCTCAGGTCATTTAGCCTGATCTTCCGCCTGACCATTTAAAAAAAAAAATTAATACAATAGTAAATGAAAAGTAGGTCATTCAAAGAGAAATACATGCGCAATTTTGAAGAGGAGGTTTTTCACACTGAAGACAGGAACGAAAGTGAGGGAGGAATGAGTAGATAGTAATGGGAATACTCTCACAGCAATTGTGAGATTAACTTTAATTATTTAAAGTTAGGAATGTATTAAAATTAATCAAATGTAATAATTTGAACGCTACGAGATTTTTCTCAAATTTAGAGAAATTTTATTTTGTGACTCAGCAAGTCAGGTATAGAAATAATTGGAAGTTAATGAAAGGTTAATACGAACTACTAAGTACACGAGTAACAAGATATTTTATTTTCGTTAGCAGTTCAATGTCAGATTTCCTTTTTTTGACCTGCCTGACAAATTTGAAGTCTTGATTTACGACATTTGGGGAAGAGGCTACAAGTTCTACAAGACATTTGGCAACCCTCCAAATGATTTAACATAAAATCAACTGTATTTAAGAATTGCGTTATTAAAGTTACAATCTAATACTCATTTCCACAGACACAGAGCTTTCGTATAACAATATATTTATTAACAAAGAAAACAAAACAAATATATACACTTAATAATCTACTTACACCCTAGCTCTGATAGACCTACTATCCCCTGATCGCGGGAGCGATCCAAACCCGATTGAAGATGATTTTGATTGTGGCATTCGCCACTCCTACTTTTGAAGCGCGCACAAAGCCTAGCTTCCGTGACCGGATGTCACGCTGGGACACAAAATCCGTTCTGGCGCACCAACGGCTGGTTTGCCTCGATCGCAGGAGCGATCTTATCCGATTGAGAATCGGCGTGAATCGTGGCACTCAACCACTCTTCACCTCGGAGCACGCACACAGCATCGCTCCCCCGTGACCGCAGTCACCCAAGGACATAAAGTCCGCAGGCTTCGTCAACTAATGACTCCAGCCTCGCGAGCCTGGCTCGCATATGCACCGTCGTGGCGCCAAGTTTTGTGCACACGCACGAGGTTCTCCCACCGTCTCCAGAACCTGCCTACTGGCTCCGTACACTCAGTTATATAGGCGAGGCCCACGTGACCTACTACGTCACGCCACCCCCTCGCTTGTTATAACAGTGAAAAGCTTCTATAAGCCGGAAACTTTCAAAGCCTTGTGTCTCCCGTTTCCGCGTTCTTCCCTTTTACGGAAAAACCCTTCTTCCTGTGGCAAGGCTAATCCTGCCAGCGTCCCCAAATAGATGCCACGAGGCACGCTGGCTAATACGTTACAATATGATTATCTATTCGAGGTAAAAATAAAGAAAAAATTACAGCCACTTTTGAGTGCTGAGGCTTTATGGAAAGAACCCTCAAAAATCAAAACATCCGTGTCAAATTTAAGGGGCTGCGACATCAGCCAAATAGATCGAATAAAAATTTTCAGGTGCTGTCAATAAGATTTTATCAGTCGAAAAATCGCTGATTCCCCTTGAGAATTACAATACTTCTATACTGCGTAGCAGCACACGAGAAAGTAAAAAATATACCTTTAAAAAAGGCATTAACAATTTTTTCAAAAAATTAATAGTTTTCGTAAATGAGTTATTGTTTGCTTGAAATTAATGCTAATAACGGAAAAAAGTCTCCAAACCACTCCATTTTTTTATTTTTTTGCCACGAATAAAACATGGGATGGACAGGAGAATTGCGCAGGATTCATTTTCGTTGAATTTTGAATTTTAGAAAATTGGGAAAGTGAGAAATAATGCGACAAAGTACGTGCCGTTTTAACTTCTCAAGTTTGCGTAACAGTGACATATGCTGTTACTCCAAAAACTTCTGGCATTGTGTCTATCATGTGCATGAGCATGCTATTTATTTCTGGGGCCATTTTTTCTTTTCACTTTTTTTTATTTACAAATGTCATATTGTACTAGTAAATAAATAAAAGTATATTCTTCAACCTGTATATAATTCTGGCTATTATTCACAAGTTGATGTTTACGACACGAGCGACATGGACAGGAGAAATGTCGTAATTTCCACGAGTGAATAATAGCCATTACGCGTGAAGGAGGCTATATTTCTCTACAGCCTTGAAATACCATAGACTAGTTTCATTACTGATTTTTGCAATTTAGTTTGTGTTTTCATTTTTATTTCATTGCTTACTTCCAGTGTGCATCTTAATATTGTGTAAATGTTTCAAAACCTAGAGCAGTGGCGGCCGGTACGGAATTCTATTAGTGGTGCCAGTTAGAATGCGGTACTGATAACAAAACATTGATGCTACCTCTTATAGATGTTCAAAATCAAAACATCGGTAATAAAACATCGATCAAAACTGTTTAAAACGTTGTTTAATAATCTCTAAAATAAAAATCGAGGTCAATAAGGTTTAATTGTACAGTGGCCGTGTTTATTAATTTATAATGAAGATTAAACTAAAACTCACAAGAACAAATAAAATGCTCACCCTGAAAGCCTGAGCGCTCACAGTAGTCTCATGAGGTCACAGCTTCCTGAGTTCGTTGAAAATACGGGTAGGGTTGCCATACGTCCTGAAAAAGCGAAAGATGTCTTTAATAACCACATGTGTCCTGCTGCTTCGCCAGATTTTTCTTTATTTATGCCAAATGTTCTGAATTTTTATGCCACACAGACCTTCAAAAAACTGCGTTTGGGGACTTCTTGTGAACTACATGACAGAAATATGCGCTACATAAGAGAACGCAAGCATCTAATTTCTTTGTTAAGCAAATAGTTATTTTTGTCTTTTTACGGTGCAATCTGAATATTGAAAAATAAAGAAAGGTACTGTGTGTTTTGAATCGAACTGCACTTGTCTCTCTCACAATACGTTAGTGCAAGAAAATATGCAATTCAAAGGTCTTAGAGAATTAACAGTGTTTTAATATCGACCAAAGTCATTCTTAATTTAACATTTTATTTAAATACCTTGAAATACTTTTATGCGTTAAATGGTCAGACTGTGTCAATTCTTAGATTGCTCGCCGGTTCAGAAAGAGACCTGCAGGATGCACTTGGACGTGAACGTTTGAACAGAGAATTGATAGAACATCGAAGTACGAACAGCTAGTTGAAATGAATTACTGTAGAGAATGATATTGTGAAGAAACGATATTTTATACACACATTGGGGTGAAAATTTTATTTTTCTCCGTTTTATTATTAATGACACGGAACACTGGCATCACCCTGCACGCCGACAATGACCTAGAAGGTTTTTACTGTTGGGGAAGTTTTGTAAAATAAATAAATAGAGATATTGTCAGGTATCAATTGATACCTGGTTGATACCTGACAATATCTCTATTTATTTATCAAAATAAAAAAGGTATCTACTTCACCAACAATCCAATTAATTTGTAAAATAAGCCAAGAAAACGTTCTCACTAATAAAATAAACTAATAGCCCTCCCTTGCACACCAGAGATGCGACATCAATGTCGATATGTCAAAAATATTCATGTTTTTGCGACCCCCATTGCTTCGTATTTCCTCTCTATTCTAATTCATTTGGCACATTGAGAGGTGGTCAACAACTGCGCTGTGGGCGTAGGAGCTGCCCCTTCTTCTCGTACCTTCATGCGACAAACACGGACACTGTAAAATTAAATTTTGTTGCATATTCTTTTAATGTAATAGGTTACTAAACCAGCTTGAAAACATCGATGCTGAAAAGCATTGTATATTGGAATTTTCACAAAGATTGTATTGTGCGACATAAGATGTCGCGTCATCCATGGATCCAAACAAAGCACCTAATGGAATATTTTTAGATCTTTCAAAAGCCTTTGACGGCATTGATCATAACATTTTACTCTCAAAATTACCTTCGTAGGGATGTTGCTCTAAATTGGTTATGTTCGTACCTTAAACAACGATCTCAGAGAGTAGAAGTATCTTACTGGA